TTTTTTTTCGGTACTGAGGATTGAACTCGGGTCCTTGCGGTTGCACAGCAGGCGGCGAAACCACTGAGCTAAATCCCTGGCCCCACATGTGCTTTTAAGCACTGAACTATATGCTTCCATACAACCATAACTCATTACCTGCTTGGATTTTGAAGCCAAGGATAGAATAGAACCAACAGAAACGTGAATTTTAGCAAATGGTGCAGGCTGTCCAATGAGTTGGGCACTGTATCAAATACAGTGATATTCACATTGTCATACAGAAACTTCCTTGAGATCCAACCCAGGCAGCCAGAGTAAGCCAGTATTCCTCTCCCTAATTTATAGGCTTTTCTAAGGTAAACATGGGCCCAGTAGATTGTAAATCCATAATGACAATGGTAAATCTGAAATGTGAGAAATCACCTAGGCAAATCCTGGCAGCCAAAAGCTAAGGTGCTGACATATATGCTAGAGAAACATCTAACACTGCAGAAGAAGAAATCTAACATTCTCTTATTGTGGGTGTCCACTTTGCCAAGCCCTTTCTCCAGAAACAACCCCAACTGAGAGATCTATACTATGAGGACACCATCTCTTCTGGGTCCAGCTGTTTAGACATACAGTGAGGAAAGATTTGGTTCAGGCTAAATAAAAAGTCGAAGAGTTAGAATGGAGTTCTCCGAAGAGCAGGAATGGAGACATCAAAACTCTGACCTATCTGCTCAGTAAGTGGAAAGGCAGATCATGTAAAAACAGGGTGGGGGTGACCAAATGTATCCCAAGAAACTTTGACTGGAAAAGGAGATGAGAATGAGAAAGAAATACAACAAAGAACAGAGATGAGAGATCCTCCAGAAAGTGTAAGAAGCATGTTGTGCATATCCTGGCTACAGGCTCATAGAGGATCTGGCCCCTTCTCTGCACAAGAATTCTGTGAGACACTTCTTGGTCTTGGAATAACTTGTCCTTTTTTACTGAGATGATTTCTCTTGCTAGATACCAAATAACCTAATTTTATTAAATAACTTAATTTAGGCTTTAACAAGACCATCCTTGACTCAGATAAAAGGTAAATTCTCATATATAAGAACATATTTTAAATATCATAGTCCTGAATAACATGATCACCATTTGTCACAGAAACAAATGGAGAAATAAACCTGTGCCAAAAGCTTGTAGCAAAATAACCAGTTAATTTTAGCTATTTAATTCAGGTGATTCAAATGCCACTTATATAACAAAATCTCAGTATGAAAAGTTCTGTATTAAGAGTGAGAAAATAAAATCAAACAAACCAAACTACTAGCAATGTAGCCCTGTTTGCCGTAAATTTACTAGTGCCCTTAAATGAGTTCCTTGTCTATTCTGGGTCCTAATTTCTTAGTCAATAATCCGAGGGGTTAGATTATGTATTTTCCCAGGTCCTGTTCACCTTACCATGATAGGTTTCTATGAAGAGAATATAGAAAGAAAAGCTTTTAGAGGCAGCTAACTAATATAGGTGTTTAACAGATCATGTGATTGGCCATGAACACTGAATTGAAAAGCAAGGTCACTCAACTTTATCAGATATGTTCATCAGCAGACATTTCCTGTGATATTACAATGTGTGGAAGTAAAACTAATGCAACTGATTTCTTTCTTGGACTGTGAAAATACTCTTAATTACAGTCACACCCCATACAACTTAACAATGAAACGCACCTCCTAATTGTTACATGTTGTAGAGATGTGCTCTGATGGCAGTCTGGCATTTGAGTCTCAATGCTTGAAAACTGCATATTACTAATTTCTCATGTTACATGTTTCTCATTGTATCCCCCTTGATTTTCAATTAAATCTATCTAATTATATAATACCAATGCAGTCATAGACCTACACATAAATATATGATTAGCACAAGTAAATAAAATATAAGGTAAAGGGATTGATGGAAGTATCTGGTCAAAAATATTTTACTCATCTTTCTAGCTTTAGGAACACAACATGTGAGCATGAGCAGCAGCATAACTATCTGTATGCATTCGTAACTGTTTGGTATTAATTGGTCAGGTAAAATGAAGTCAGAATTTCTCATACCTCTTTCTAATCACACAGGACTGCCATCCCAATAAGGTCATATTAAGTGACAAGATATTTAGCTCAATTTATAATTTGTATTGGCTTAAAAACCACAGTGTAAACTATTAAATAGCATATTATATATAAATGGCAATATATAAAAAAGAAACTATATTAAAACTTATATGCCTACATCTTATAGCATAAAACCATATCAAATACATGCATCAGGTGGAAGTGTACTTACTAACAGCAACAATAAAATCTTTGTGCAACTTGTAAGTCATCAGTGGTTCTGCAAGGCACCTACGATAGAGAAGTGAAGGGCATTTAGAATGGCAGTATTCTCCCCCCCACCTACACAAACTGTCACTGGTTCTTAAAGAACTTGGTGATTACTTTTTATCATTAAAAATTAAAAAATAAGTAAAATAATTGAATGATTATACAGTATAAGGCCCTGTAGAGGAGCTCCAGGTAATCCTAAAATGCAGACTTCTAAGATACAAATGCACTTTAGCACTTGTTGCCACGACTACATTAGGGAGTTTGAGACAACAACAAAACCAATGTCAGATAAAGGGACAATAGTTTCTTAAAAAAAAAAAAACCAACAAAACTTACTTCAATTTATTTTCAAAGATATGCAATAACCTAACATACAAATTTAATATGAAACAAAAAATACTAATTCTTACTCATAAAAAGTTGCAGTCTTTTATGTTATTATTGCAAGAGCAAGTTCCAGAATGCTCAATGTAAAACTTAGCACCTTGTGCACTGTCACCTTACGTGAAGGCCGGGAGTTAAGGAGTTTGTGTATGGGCTCTATGTAATCAAATAGTTAGTGCCCACAGAGGGCAAGTAAGAGATCACATCCAGATACCAGGAGTTAAACCCGCCTCACCTGAGGTAGTTTTTCAGCCCACTTGTTATCGTCTTATTGTCCCACAGTTCAATATCAATGTCAATATCAGGAGGGGATTTGGCGGCTGGAAAGAATAAAAGCAAGATGTACAAACTACAATTCAAAATATTCCCTGTGCCATTATGAAAATGGATACCAACATAAGTAGGTCAAAGAGAGACGCATTCATTTTTTCAGATGCCAGTAAAGTTAACTTTTGGACTGTTTTTCGGATGAGCTGATAAGAAGGTCATTTTAACAGTGAACTTCAAAGATATCTGATGGAATAATAGTCTCCCAAATCAACTTACCACTATTTATTAACATGATAGAGATTAACATGTACCTGGCATGCTTTTAAGGCTTTTGCATAGATTAACAGATGTTATTATTACCTCTCTACAGAAAGGTTGAGCAAATTACTAAAGGTCATAAAACTTTTAAGTAGACAAACTGGGATTCCAAGCTAGGCCGTCTCTAACATTCATGTATCTTATTCTATCTTAAGCTAACTGAAGGACATTTGAGGAAAAAACTCCAAAATTATAAAAATTGTTTATCTAGTACAGTTGAACATTCATAATTGAATAGAGGATGAGTGTGTGGTTCTGTGGTAGAGCTCATGCTTGGCATGTGCAAGGACCAGGGTTCAATCCCAGCAGTAACCCCTTACCATACCATCTAAAAACCTGAATGCAAACATTATTGTTAAACATTATTTGAAAATACTCAAAGACAAGCAATTATTTATATTTCAAATAAATCTACAGTTTGGATTACCAATAACAATATAAAAATTAAATTATTTCATGTAAAACTTACAAAATGTGGTGGTCATGAGTTTCTGAACCTTGGAGTTCACTCCCCCTATTCGGTAGAGCCCTAAAATGGTGATACCTAATGGGAAAGAAAAAAATCACAGGAAAATGGCTTGAGACACAGCTTTCCAAGTATTGAATGTTAAAAACTCAGACATATGCGTATGCGGAATTTGAGAGCTACTTATCCAATTTTACAGTCTAACCTTAGCAAACCTGTCCTGGAAAATACCTATCAGACACATTTCTCAGAGCAGACACTGAATAGTCATTTGAAAGTCTTTGAAGATCTTCAAAGTAGCAAAATATACCTGCCCTATCCACCATTTTTGAATATAAAAAAGCATCAATAGCAGAAAGAGATTTTCAGTGGTCTTCATTTGCTTCCGAGCCACTGAGTCCTGCATGTTGAACAGTCCTATGGCATTTATATTTTCATTTTGAATGCAAGGAAATAGATTCAGAGAATTCAAGGAACCTACTTAACCCCTCAAAACTTCTAAATGGCAACACCAGAATTTGAGTATGTTCACAGAACTCCAAAGCCCAATATGAATTTTGTTTTAGATAGGTTTTAGTAGAAGTGAATGTGTCTAACATCTCACTGGGGTGAGCTTCCAGAGAGGTCATTATTAGAGCAAAAAATAAGCAGTGACTGAAATCACTAAGCGAGAGAAAATAGGGCAGGAAGGTGGCTGAAGATAAGCTCCTTAAGTCTCATCTTCAATGCTTGACAAATTAGAGAAAAACTGATGAAAAAGATAGTATAATTTTTAGTAAACTGAAGTTAAAACATAGCTATTGGTATATTTATATAATTTATACATTTATATCATTCTTAAAATTAATCTCATGTCAATGACAAAAAATACATTTTCTTTTTTTTTTAAATCATTTTTTTTTTTGACACAGGGTCTCATTATGTTGTTCAGGCTGGGCTTGAACTCACTATGTAGCCCAGGCTGGCCCTGAACTCATGGTGATCCTCCTGCATCAGCCTCCCGAGTGCTGGGATTACAGGCGTGTGCCACCACACACAGCTGCATCTTCATTTTCTACTTTGAGAGGTTTCCATGTAAGAATGGGACACACCACAGGAACAGTGGACCTGTTAGGCAACACTCACCTCTTGTTTCCACAGCTTGAATACATTTTCTCACAAAGTTGAATCCTGCTTCATTTAAGTACACTGAAAATAAAAGAAAGTCAAATTAAGTGTTGATGTGAAACATAAATTTCCCCTTCAGTTGGTTCCGTTCACTGTGCCTTTACCACGTAACAGCACAGTGCTTATTACTGAATTTATCAAATACTTTGCCTAGAATCTGACTTTTTAATTGTGGGGTAAAATTAGAAGAGGAGGTTCATACTCCTATTATTATACCTATTAACAAAGGTGTAACAACACAATTATTACGCTTATTATCAAACAGATTCTTCAAATAAAGTATGTTCTTTTGATCCTATCTATTTCCCTAAAACTAGCATTACCCTTTACTGAGTATTTTTGAAGGTGACTAAAGTCAATGCTAGAAAAATAAATATGTTGTATGGAAAGTTGTATTAAAACTTTCAACTTAGGGCCGGGGATTTGGCTCAGTGATTTTGCCACCTGCTGCACAAGCACAAGGACCCAAGTTCGATCCCCAGTACAAAAAAAAAAACAACAAAAAAGCTTTCAACTTATTCTTTCCTATGGGATTCTAAAAACAACATTGTAAGGGTCTTTAGTTGCTAAAAGTCCACTTTTCTCTGTTCTAAACTCTAGAGTTAGACTTTAATCCAGGTCTCCTGTTCTAAGCCCAATGCTCTTTGTATGACATTCTGTTTCACATTCAGAGGAACCTAAAACACGCTTATTCAGTGTACTAAGAACCCCCCCAAAATTCTACATTATAAAATAGCAAATTATTTTCAGTTTTTTCTGTTTCTTTAAATCCATTTTCACTTTTTAAGGTTGTAGGGCCAGAACCAAATTAGATTACTTATACAGAGAAAAAGCATTTAAGAATACAAAGTGACACCTAGAGGAAAAACTTGAACTATACAGAAAATTGTACTATACAGAAAATTTGTACTATATAGCAAATTTTCATCACATGTTGTGGTGACATTGTTAATATTCTTAAATAACAATAAATGAAGATAATTCAAATTTACAAAAATTTAAAACTGGCTTCCCCTGAAAAATTGTGAATTAGGCTCACTCATGCAGCTCAATACAGATCCACAGAGAAAAAGTACACACCAAAACACAATAAAAATGAAGGAAAAGTACTAGCAACAGACTAAAAACTTTGAAGCAATCTTAGACATAGGACACCAATAAAGGTGAACTAATTAACAAAAAAGAAGAGTTAGTAACACAGAAGGATATTTGTTATGTGTTGTTAGGTAAAATAAGTAATCAACAAGACCATAAGGTCTATATTCTTAAAATGTAGAAATTTGAGGGTATGACTATTTCACTCATTCTAGGAAAACATCCATAAAGATAAATGCAAACTGTTGATAAGATGAAGGCTGAAGGTAGAAGCTATCATTTTTATTCACTTGACTCTGGAATCATTAGATATTTTAAAATATATATTACATACTTTAAATGTAACATTAGTACTCTAGACATAAAAATGTCCAAATTAAAATATGTATGGCTATCAATATGAGGTAGCTGATGTATTTCTTAGCCTCCAGTGTCCTACATCAAGAGAACAGAGCTCAGTAGAGTGTGTTCACTCCAAGTGAACACAATGCACATGAGGAAATAAATAGAGAAGGTGCTGTGCTGGCATGTGCTTAGGATCTGCATGGGAATGGAACTCCTTTGACACCAAGAAGGGATAGCTCATTTCCAATAATTCAAAATATCAAGCATAATACACATTCAGATATTTAGAAATATCTATTAAATACAGGAAACAGGTATGATGGAAAGGCAAAAAATCATTAATTTTTTTGTTTTTACCAATGAAAAAAAATTGAGACAGGAAGTGCAACCCTAGATAAAAACACTAGCATTTTTATATCAATTAGCACTGCAAGTTCCTGCCATTTGAAATGTTTGGTACTGAAGGTCATAATGTTCAGCTTTCAATAAAAAAAGATTAAGAGGAAGAGAAGACCATTTAAAAAAATTTTAATGAAAGTAGACTTTGGGAAAATGAAGATACTATGATACACAAAAATGGAATTTTTTCAATATTCATTTTTAGAAAAATAGGCAATAACCAGACTATATCTCAAGGGTATACTGAGATATTGGCAGCAATACCCCAGTTTATGCTAATAAATCGATAGCACAGGCTCATTCCGCGGAATAAAACCTTACAGGATGTCAGTCTGGCTGCAGGGTCATTATAAGGGTGCTGTCGTCCTGATGGATTCCATGGATACTGCTGACAGCTCTCTTCACAGGAGCAAATGTAATGTTATCAATCAATTCAGAGATGTGGGAAATACGTGTTAGCAAAAATATCCATGTTTTTTGTTGCCTTCAACCATCCTTTGCTTTGTGAGAAAGACCACGGCTGTGTGGTTCAGAGAGAGGTCCACCTTTGTCTAGAGCCAGGCAAACCTGGAGTTAGGTCCTAGCTCCAATAAGATTGCTGGATGAAGGACAGTGTGCCTGTTCACTTTTTAGGAAATGAGAGAACTGGCAGGAACATATGTTAAAGAGTCAGAGTAAGGTGGAAATAAAATCGTACGAAGCACCAATGTGTGCCTAACTACTGGAAAAAAAAAGAAAAATGGTAAGTTGTCTTCGTCCTCTGCTCCTGTCTGTACCTCATGGCTACAGAAAAGAAAACAGAAAAAATGATAAATGAAACCGGCCATCAGTTCTAATCAGATGAGAGAGACAATAGTCACTCTCCCAGTCAAAAGCTGTATTTTGAGCATAATTTTAATCTGTGTGCCTCACTGCTACAAAATAAGGGTAATAGTAGTTTCTTCCTTATAGGGCTATTTGAAGATGAAATAACATTTGCAAGACTCCAAGAATGGTACTTCACACACAGTAAGGGCTATAGTGTTGACTATCAGCAATTACCACCATGGTTAATAACTAAGGTGAACATAAACATCTGCATAATGAACATTTCATGTCAAAGGATTCTTTTTCCTTTGGGTGTGGCTGAAATAATGAGATCTCAAGGGATAGTAAATAAACATGAGCACTATTTTTCAAAGAAAGATATTACGTTCTTTTTTTTAAAATTTGAGGACATAGCACAATGATTTGTTTCTTTCATCAGACATAGATAAAACATTTAATGGGGAGGCCTTGTACACCAAGCTGGCCACTGAAAAGGTAAGCTGTATATTAAGAAATGTTCTTATGTGTTCATTACATGTCCATAAAACACAATGCACAAACACATCCTCTCACTAGAACCAGACAGACTGTAGCAGGCTAGCAGTACTGTTCTCCCATATTTGTTGCCTATTTCTGCAAGAAAATTATTCTTCTCAGCATCTGTGAAGATAGGGTCAGTTACGTGGTATGTATTATGCAATGAAATAAGAAGGGAAGTGACATATGTTACTATCCAGGGGAAATGAGAGCCAGTACTAAGTAGCTTTTATTTGCTTTTTTCTCTGGTACAAGATAAGCAAAGATAAAGAGGAAGTTTCTCTACCAACTTGAGTTTCAGCATGAAAAGTATAAGAGAGTCACTGTGGACCTACAGACATGTATTATGAACAAGAAATGAACCTCTACTGTGCCAAGCCACTGAGAGCTTAGGCCTCATCTGGCCAGTTCTAATTTAATTATGCATAACTTAAACAGTTTGCTGTGGCAATGAGGATTCATGAAAATAAAGCCAATCCTACACACTGAGTTCTTCCTTTCCTTCTTAAACTGGAAAATATCCTTTTAACTACTTTCTTGTTGATTCACATAACAAAGGCAGCACAGAGTTACAGGGGGAGCACCCAATCATAGTTGCTTTGAAAAGTGCATGTCAACAGGACCTCCACTTGAGCACCCAGCATTTTCTGCTGAGGTCTAAGAAGAAGACAAAGTGGCTCAGTTTGTCTCCCAATGATTTGATATAAGATATAGCCACAGGAATGTTATTTCTTAGGGCAAACACATTTTGCAATGGAAAACTAGCAATTTTCAAAAGCCATGAAGGGGTTGCTACACTTATTATATCAGTCTAATGAAGATTCAACTAAAATAGGTTTACTGTAGCCTAAAAGAAAGAAATTGGTCACTCCTTATGTTCAGATGAGATGTCAGTAGAAAAGGTTATTACTACATCAAACTGTACCATTAAAAATGTGACATTTTATAATAATTCTCCTTCAGTGGAAGACAAACTGCTCCTGTTACGGCAGTGGAGAGAAGGGGAGGTATGTATGGGTACAAAGCAGAAATACTGATTGCTGAGTCAGGGTTCAATACCTTGTGGAGAACAGTCAATGAAAAAATGCTTACAGATTGATAGTTTGCTAGCTATTGGTCTGTACCAAGCTTGCTCAGATACATTCTCTGATGGCTACTACAAGGGTTAGGTTCTCCCAGCTAACAACTTTTATGAATACCTCCCTAGGTCTAGTGTGTCTCTCAGTTCTGTATTTCCCTGTTTGAGAGAAGGATACCCAGAATCCAAAAATTACCAAATTCCCAAGAACAAACATTCTATAATATTAGTGGGTTTTGGCTTTCATGGGTAGAAGCAGAAGACAGACTAACTTAATGAATTCAATTTATTCATTCAAAAGTTAAATTTAAACATTTACCCCCTACTCTGGAAACTGTTCAAGGCTAAAGCTTTTATTAAAACCCAAATAAAGTTTAAGGCAGTTTAGCAGCACAAAAGCTATTAATTTCAAGAGAATTCAAGCAGCCAAGAGGACAATAAAAGGAGCTAGCAAAGCAAAAGACCTTGTATCTTCATCAATTTCCTGCTAATGCAAAACTTAGCATGCCCTCACAGACGTAATATATGTGGCCTTACAGTACATTCTCAGGGTTAACAACACAAAGCAACACTTGTCTTTAATTTAAATTTCACTTTATAATCTGCCATTTCAAATCTAATATCATATTATACATGGTTTGAAAGAAACAGAAAAAAAGAAATGAATAATTTATTAGTGTTCATGATACTCATTGGTCCTTTTCTTCCTAAAGGATGAATAGTTAACACTCCACAGTGTTGGCCTAAATTGTCCTTTCAT